TGCACGCATGAAACCTGGGCTGTGCGAGCCACGAGGGATTGGAATGCTTCCTTCTGTGCAGTAAATTTAGATGATAACAACGGTTTGCTTTGTTCCAGAGACTTCTCAGGAAAAGATGTGCGCGATAATCCCAACAAACTGACAGGGGGGACCCCTTCATAGCGTGACTGAACTGAGCGTTAGTGTCAAGAAAAGTGTATTGGGAAATGGGAAATGAAAATACGAAAATCCAAGGACATGGAGGAAATGAAAATGGATCGTCCAGATGTCCAGAACCTGAAGCCCGGGCTAGATGCCGCTGCAGGGGTTTCCTGCTTTGGGTCTCTCAAAATGCAATCATCAATCCATCCCGCAAACAATTTCGACGAATAATCGCCCGGCCCATTGAGCCTATGCGGCTCAACAATGGCCTTGACTCTGGGCTCTTTTCGGGCTACAGTGCCCCATTTCCCGTATCATAGCCATGTGGTCGCCCAGCTGAAAGATAAATGCCCCTGGCTGCCGCGACACATGGAGCCAAACATTTTCTTTCCGACTGTGTTGTGGTCCTGTGTACCGACAAAATTCCATAGTTCGAAGCGAGTTCTTGCTTGCTTCTTCATTTCCATATCATGGACCATTTCTCAGCCTTCTCCGATGTTCCCCAACCAGCACCCGGGGTTAGTGTTCCCCAGGATTATGAACTGTACCCTTGCAAGTATGAGTCGTCGTATACGGACCCCACGATGAGTCAACATCCTTCAGGCCTCCAACCTCATCTCACTCCGGAAGCTATCCCTATGAAAGGCCTCTATCCCACATCTAACATGTCCTGGACGAGCATGGGAGATGATATCGACACTCTCACGACAGGCTTCTCGTCTCCCTGGAGCAGCGAGCCCACCTCTTCGCCGGCGCTGGGAAGTCCCAAGTGCAACGACATGAACTGGATGAATATGGGATGTTACATGTCTCCTCCTTATACCTGTGACGATGTCATGATACCTCCATCTGCATATGAGCCGTGCGCTTCGCCCGCTGTTGTTGAGTATCTGGTGACGCCTTCACAAATCTACCCAGAACCCGAGTCCATGGTGAAGATTGAGCCTGAACTACCCTCACCGAGCACGCATGCCGTATTCTCGTATCAGGGAGCCTTCTCGAACTGTGAGACCAGTTTCACAACTGGGATGTCGATCGGTGGTCAGCCGGCTAAGGAGGAGCGCGCCGCTTGTGACTCGCCAAAGTTTCAAGTCAAACCACGAAAAGCACCGAAAGCCAGCAAGAATCGCATCACCAAACCGACTCGAAAGCCATCCAGCAAGACAAGCACCACTACGAGCGCCCGCGCTGGCTCAAGGGTAACGGCGAAGAAGAACACCCCACCACCCAGTCGAGTATATACCTGTAGCTTTTCACACTATGGCTGCCCCAGCACATTCGTGTCGAAGAACGAGTGGAAGCGACATGTGATCTCTCAGCACATTCAACTGGGATTTTTCCGATGCGATGTGGGGCGTTGTAGCTTGGACAACCTGAGCAAAGAGAGAAACCTCAGCTCACCGCACGAGCCCCTCGCCTACAACGAATCTCACCTGGTCAATGACTTCAACCGCAAAGACCTCTTCACTCAGCACCAGCGTCGCATGCATGCCCCCTGGGTGTACCGGAACCGGAAGTCGCCCGAGACCGAAGAAGAACGGGAGGCGTTTGAGCAGAGCCTGGAGGCTGTGCGGGCACGATGTTGGCACGAGCAACGCAAGCCCCCCCTTCACAGCCAGTGCGGCTTCTGTGGACAGGAATTTGTTGGTGCACACAGCTGGAACGACCGAATGGAGCACGTTGGTCGCCATTATGAAAAGGACAACCTCGAGCAGGAAAGCGAGGATTTGTTGTTGCGGCAGTGGGCTATAGAGGAGGGCATCATCCGGAGGGTGGACGGAGAGTTGAAGTTGGCTGTCTTTTGTGACAACACTAACTAACTGCCCTTTCCCTTTGGAGATGAATTCTCCTGCCCTGCTGGCTTCTCTTCTCCCCTTCTCCGATGCCTCAGGCTATTGCACTTCTATCGGTTTAATTTATGCCAGTCCCCCCTTTCTTGATGACGACCCTTTACGACCTGATATCCTGTATTTCACATCTTTGGTTTAGAGGAGTATATGGTGTTTTCTTTACTGTCTGTCTGTGCGATTACGCTGTCTACCAATACCCAATACCCACTCTTGGAGCAAGAAGGAAAGAGATATATTAGCATATCAATCGATACATCATACACATAAATCTAAGTGCCCCAAAGTCATCCATACCTACCATTGATATTCGCCCATAGACTAGACTCGACCCACCACCGACTAACCTAGCAGTGACAATCTGTTCAACAGCCCAGTTTGGCCCCAGACTAAAACCAGCATGGTCTGATCGCCCAGTCGCCCAAACGACAACGGTTTCCACGTGGCGACCGGTTTCTAGAGCACGACTTCCCGCGGCGGGTCCCTGAGTTTGGCCCCCGAATTGATTCCATCCGCTTGGACTCTCTTGATGAAACGCAGACCGTCCGTGCGGCTGACAGGGTGAAGAACGCGGGTGGACTTATCATCGGGCCTACGGAATGTGCCCACGTGTTGGTGGCCGGTATTCTGGTCGTCGTTAGTTGAATTCCAGGTCTTCTAGAATACGGATTTCCAGCGGATCCTGGTATTCCCCGTACTCTAGCGGCCTCGACATAGGAGCCCCTCGCACTCAGTCGTCATCGGGATGCTTTGAAATCGAAACCTGGTATCTTAAGTGGATGAATGTCCGTCATGCTGCCAAGGAGCTCTCCAATTGTTTCTGTTGGCTGTCGCCTGAAAGGAGAATAACAATGTGTCAAATGTGATTGCAGTGGTACGGTAAATTGACCTTAATGTAGCCAAGCAATCTTTTCATGGTACAGAATAGGCACAATGGTATTCATGGTTTCGTCTCGAAACTGCGATTCCACGTCAGCTGGTTAACTTTTCAACATCACCCCAACGAGACAGAAAAGGAATTCGCCAAACTCACATGAGAGTACTAACTTTTGTTAGGGAATGCCTCTCCCCGAACAGCTGTGCTGCTCTCAACCCAGGGCAACGACTGTGGTGTTTTACACAGCAGCATTGATACTCCGAAGTGGGTGACCCCCGCTATAGATGGATCGGCAGTCATGTGTTCAGCATCCCCCGCCGTGACATCAACAGGTTGAACAACAAAACTACCACCCAAAAGCAATGCTTACCACAAACCATTGTCTGTATCTTCTGCCATCTCAACACATTTTACATCTCTCGGACCCTCATAATAAAGTCATACCGGCCCAAGATGACCCCGTACCCCTTCAACCACACTCAACCAGGCAACCCCTCAGCTAGCAAGCAGAGCACAACACCAACAGACTCACAACCACCACCAGACTTCCAAGCCAGACCCCAAACCCTCACCTACACCCTTCAAAATGTCCGCGGCCGCCTGCCCAGCCCACAGGCCTCGCACCTGCGCACCCTCTTCCAAACCTCCCACCGCGATCCAACCACCATCCTCGCATTTCCCTGCACCTACCACGGCCTCTCCTCGCGCCTTGTCGCCGAATCCAGCTTCCCACTCATCTTTCTTTCCGGCTTTGCCGTGTCCAGCGCCCACGGCCTGCCGGACACCGGGTACATCGCCATGGAAGACATGTGCCACAAGATCCAAGAGACCGCCCGCATCGTCACCGACCTGCCCATCATGGTCGACGGGGACACGGGCTACGGCAGTCCCATGAACGTCAAACGAACGGTCGAGTGTTTCGCCGCCGCGGGGGCCGCCGGCGTCATGATCGAGGATCAGACCTGGCCGAAACGTACGTCCCTATCCATCCCCCTCCCCGCGGTCCCACCCAGCTCTCCCCACCCTCATGAACCACCAAATTAACAACCCCCACCAAATAAAAAAGGCTGCGGCCACACCAAAGGCAAGTCCGTGGTACCACGGGGCGAAGCCTACGCGCGGATCCAAGCCGCCGTCGACGCGCGCAGCCAGGGCCGGGACATCTTCATCCTGGCGCGGACGGACGCCCTCATCCACGGGTGGGACGAAGCGATGACCCGGGCGAGGGAGTTCATCGCGATCGGCGCGGACGCCATCTTCGTCGAGGCGCTGCCCGACCGCGAGGCCATGCGCCGCTGTGTGGCGGAGCTGGACGTGCCCATGCTGGCGAACATCATCGAGGGCGGCAGGACGGAGAATCTCTCGGCGACGGAGCTGGCGGGCCTGGGGTTCGCGGCCGTCGCGTATCCCTGGACATTGGTGGCGGCCCGGTTGAAGAGTACGCGCGAGGCGCTGGAGGCCTTGAAGCGGAGTTTTACGGTCGGCGCGCCGCCGCAGATCCTGCGGTATGAGGAGGTTTGTGCCGGCGTGGGGTTTGAGGAGTACTGGGTGAGTGGCGCTCTTTTTCGTTCTTCGGATGCAGTTGTTGCTGGGTGGTTGACTGACGCTTTTATCGGTTTAGGATGCGGAGACGCGATATGAGTTCACAAATGAGGCCTTGGTCAATCCTCGACGGGAGGAGTAATGTGTACAGTACTGCGAACTGTCTCTACGGTGTGGATCGAAACTGCAGAGTCAAGCTATAGATTCGTTTCTACAGGCCTCACAGCCGTTCGGCAAGTTGCCTTCACTTTGCACTACCACAACGTCCGAGTCTTCCGACGTAAGGCGATCATCTCATCGTCGAGCCGAGGTGGATCTTGTATGCAGCGGTGGGATACCTCGGCGATAAGATCTCGGCCCGGCTTACTTTATATGGTACCGAGATCCGAGCATCTCGGACGGAGAACTCATTTTAGTACTAGTCTCCTGCAACGATATCCACCACAGAGGCTTCAATGATGGTCGTGACGAATGGTCTCATGTTCTCCATTCGGAATTGTGTATATAGGGCCAGTCAAAAGCGCCAAAGAATACGCCTCTCGGAGATAGAAAGGCGTTCGTCATAGGGTGGACCACTGACCTCAGAACCGAAGATGGCAGGTGAAGGTCACCGCCGTCTGCATTTGCAGAGCGCCCAGCAGCCGTGTATAAAAGCTTCATGTCCACAATAGACACGATCATCACCAGCCTCCAATACACTGCCTTTACGCTCAAAGCCCAAGCTCTTCCTACTATTGACTCGACACCAACCACTTGTACCCAAGACCAACTCATACACACCAATCCCACCAACATGCCTCCGCACGTAAGTCTCCAACCCACCCACCCACCGCTACCTACCTACCTACAGAACATCACCAGAAAATCTAACCTCTTCCTGGAACAAAAAGTCTCCCGAAGCCGCCGCTCAAGCCGCGCACGCCCACATCTTCAGCCAACCCACGACCGAGCCCTACCGCAACAACCCATGGGCCCTGTACCGCGCGCTCGACGAATACAGCCAGACGCGACACCTCATGAACTTCAAGGAAACCAAGCTCCGGGTCGCGAAGCAGCACCTCGAGTCCATGCAGCCCAAGCCCAAGACCGTCATCGAGTTCGGAACCTACGTCGGCTGCTCCGCCATCGCGTGGGCGGCCATCCTGCGCGACCTGCACGGGCCCTCGGCGGACAACGACATCCACATCTACACCTTCGAGGTGAGCGAGTCCATCGCCCAGGTGGCGCGGGACTTCATCGAGCTCGTGGGCCTGCAGGAGGTCGTGCACGTCCTGGTGGGACCGGCGTCCGAGTCCCTGCGGGGGCTGGTCGAGCAAGGCAAGATCGCCCCCAGCGGCGTCGACATGGCGTTCTTCGATCACTGGGAGAAGTTCTACCTCTCGGACTTGCAGCTGTGTGAGGAGCTGGCGCTGTTCCATGTCGGGTCGAAGGTCATTGCGGATAACACGGATATTCCCGGCGCGCCGGATTATCTGGAGTATGTGCGGGCTGGGGGTAAGGGAGGGGAGGGAGAGGTGCGTTATACGACTCGGTCGTTTGAGACGGAGCATGTGGTGCAGGGGCGGCCGGTAAGTGTCTTCTCTCCTGTCTCTTGAGTATACGAAACCGGATGTATTGTGGGAACTCTGTCTTTGCTGACTTATTGCTTGTTATAGAATATCGTGGAAGTGACAGACGTCGTGGCTGTCCGGTCATGATGCCGCATGTGATATCAATTCTCCATTGAGATTTCTTTATGATTAGACGCAATCTATCACGTTGACGTGTATGGCAATTCAGATTTCCGGTCAATGGACCAGATCCCTGACCATTGTATTTTCCTAGAAGACCAGTTATGTGCGCTATGTAGATGTGTAGACTTGCAGACTCGATGCAGGGCTTAGATAAAGTCCCGGGAGATGCATTCAATGTGGGCAAGTGCGGAGAAAACCGCGGGCTATTTCGAGGTCCACCCAAAGGACATTCCCATCGAAAGCGGTGAGCGAGACGGCCGCAGTGGAAGACACCGGCGGCCAACAACACCTCCGCAATAATCACCTGGTATAATGATCAGAACAACAAACAATTTGATATGAAATCACGACAAAATAAGATCTTTCGTCCTCTACACATCAATTGCCAAGAATCGACGAGAAAGCGTCTGTGATGCCGCATGACCGCAGGTCCTGAAACCACTCAAAAGGACAAGATCGTCCGATACTACTCCTACGACTGACATAGCTTCTTCCCCCTCATCACCATGTACGTCGCAACCACAATCCCAAACTCCAACTCCCAATTCCGCCTTTCCTCTTCTCCCCACAACAAGGCAAGAGAATACCTAACGCAAAACCAAACAGGACCGTCTTCTCCCTAATCATCATCAACAAAGCCGGAGGTCTAATCTACCAGCGCGAATTCCAACCGGGCCTCCGCAAGCTCTCGACAAACGACTACCTCGTTCTCGCCGGAACCTTTCACGGGTATGAATGGACCTTTGTGTCAATGCCTCTTCCAGAGAGACGAATGCTTTGTATATCAGGCCTAGAAGAAACGAAACTTAATAACCTCTAACAGCGTCCACGCCATCACCCGCACCATCACCCCGAAACTCCCCCTCCTCACCCCAACCGCAATAGCCTCCACCCCGACCAGCGCGTCCTCCAACCTCGCCTCCCCCTCAGGCACCTCCACCCCGATTCCGCCCACGACGACGACGACGACAACAGCGGCAGCAACAACGCCATCCGTCTCCGCGTCCTCATACACATACCCGATCCTCGGCGTGCCCGCGACGGGGCTAGAGTCCCTCGAGACGGACAAGTTCCGGCTGACGTGCTTCCAGACGCTGACGGGCACCAAGTTCCTCCTCTTCACGGACCCGCACATGGCCAACATCGAGGTGGTGATGAAGAAGATCTACGAGTTCTACGCCGACTTCGTCATGAAGAACCCGTTCTACCAGTTGGAGATGCCGGTCCGGTGCGAGGCGTTTGATCGGAATCTGAATGGGTGGTTGCGCGGGCGGACGTGAGGATTTCTGATTCAATAGTAATCATTCTTGCCTTTGTTGTCATAACAAGGGAAGAGGAAGAATGATTGGCCTACTGTTGGATTGATTCAAAGTCGATTTCTGGCGACGGAAACTTTTAAAGATTGCACTGATGTATCGTGTTCCTTTTACTTTTCTTCTTTCGTGGGAGGCGTTCGTCATCAATTCCTTTTTTTATATATGCGTTCGCGGTTCTCTCCGGCATAGGACTACGATTATGATGTTATAGAATTCCCATATAGATACCGCAAGCCTTTCTCAAAAGGATTGTCGTGTGGGCGGGGGGGTCGACTCTAGAACCCACGTTCTACAATTACAACCAAGCAGAAAAACCAGAGAAAACTTTAACGCAAGTACACATCAGAAGGAACGCCGGGTATGCATCAGAGATTGAAGAAGAAAAAAAGGAGGTCATCCACGAGGATCATTTCGAAATTTCCTCACACATTAAGCGGTGTCCATCTTGTCACCGTCATCCTTCTTGTCTTTGCTTCCGCTACCCTCACCACCCTCCTCGGGAATGCCCTCCAAGTTGACTTTGCGCTCCTGTTCCTCCCGATCCCGCTTCTCCTTCTCTTGTCGGTTCTTCTCCTCCTCGAGGGACAGACGCAGGGCAAAGGCCAGCTCGGGATCGTTCTCCGCCGCATCCTCGAAGTTGAAGCCCCCGTCCCCGCCGTCCGGACCGGCGCCACCACCGGCGCCGCTGCCGTCACCACCCAGGATCGGCGTGGCCTGGAGCTCTTCACTCAGCAGGTTGTCGCCGGGCGGGATGATGGCCAGGTGGGAGCCGTCGCCACCCTTGACGTTCTCGACGAACGCCTCGAGCTTCTTGGTCTGGTCGGATTCGAGGTCTCCGAAGGCGATCACGTCGATGGACACGTTATTCTTCTTCATCTTCTTGGCGAGCTTCACGAGCGTCTTCTCGTCTTCTTCAATGGGGGAGCAGGAGAATACGATGATGCGCTGTCTCTGGGACTTCTCGGAGCGGTGCTTGAGGGCGAGCTATAGTTTGCCGTCTGGTTAGCTGCTTTGAATACTCATCGTGATTGTGGGAAGTTGCTGTTGTTGTTGTAAGACATACACCGGCCACTTGTATGCTGGAGCCAAGGTGGGCAGTGCCACCGATCTTCGTGCGGTGCAGACCAGCCAGGATACCACCGAAGTCGGTGGTGAATGTCGACAGGACTTCGGGACCCTTTCCTCCCATGCTCATAAGCCCGACGGCGGATTGGGGGTGTACGCGCATCTTGGTCGTGTGAATGACGCTGACAGCGTCGATCTGTGCTTGCCATCGGGTCGATCTGGCAGCTCAGCTGTCAGCGGTCGGAACGAGAGAAGAAGGTTCGATGGCCCTTGCTGAGACTTCGTGGTACTTACGTATAATCACCGTTACGGCTGCTTTCGCTGTTGTCCACACTGCATAGGTTGTTAGCCAAGGTGTACGAAGCTTGAGATGAGGGGAGGGGTGGAACAGAGGAACGGACATGATCATGGTAGCTTCCATCTTGGCGAGGGTTTGGCGTTACTAGGAACGACGGCAGTGATTGATATAAGTAACAGTAGGTGATAGCTTTAGGCGCTATAGATGCCGAAAATAGGAAGATGTTGTGAGTAGATGGAGAGGAAATGATTGGAGGAGTGGATGAAGATGAAGATTGATGGAGGAGAGTGAGAGCTGCGGTGCTGGAGAGAGAGGTAACTTACGGGACGGGGACTGCAGTGCAAGATGTCACACCCTCTCCCGGTCGGAGCTAACCACGAATTAAGTCAGCACTTCAATCAAGGTTGTTTATCCTCTCTCTCTTACACACTCTCCCGCCTGCCAACTCTTCCGCTTTCCTCCCTCCCTTCAATTCAGACGCACTTCTCGACACAATCATCCTTCTGGCTCCGTTCCAGCCTTTGAAATTTGCATTGAATATCCTGCACGTCTATCGACAAGCGATCGCTAGCAACCTATTTCAAGCCCAATGGCGTCCCTTGCCTCCAAACGCAAGTCCCCCGAGGACGCGTCCCACAACGAGGAAGCCATCACACCCACCAACAGCCCGCCTAAGAAGAAGCTTCGGATTACACGCAACCAGAAACAGGCTCTCATTGATAACCTCCAGCTCGAAAGTACGCTTCCAAGGACAGCACAATCTTCATCCCTCGATTCCGGTACTAACCGCTGTCGCAGTCACCGAACGCGCCCGCAAACTCCGTGCTCAGTATGCTCTCCAAGCCAACGACCTACGCGCCCGGATCGAGCGACGCATCAACCGAATCCCCATCGCACTCCGCAGAGCCAACATGGGCGAACTACTCGAGAAACACATGAGAGCACACCAAGAGAACACATCCCCACGCAAGCTGCTCAGCCCAGCCAAAGCATCCCGGAATTTCGCAACCATTTCCGCTAGCCCCAGGTTGCGCAAAGCGACGACTGCCAGCCCCAGCTCCCGCAGGGTACGCAAACAAAGGTACGGCGTAAGATGATATACCCTCTCCGAGTCTTCCCCAAGGGAAAGGGAGACTTGATATCGTGGTGGTTCCATTCACTGACCCTGTTTCCCCCCAAAACCAGCCACGAGGGCATCTATTCTGATAAAGAGAACGCGCCCGCCCCCGGCGGGGAGTCGCTCGACGTGCTCAAGAACCCCAAACGCCGGGCCAAACCCGGAGCAGCAGCGGGAACCTCGCGGGTGGTGTCGCAGGAGATGAGGGGCGCCAACGACTACCGGATCCTGTCGCCCAAGACCTCGAACTCGCGGACGTACCCCCAATCCCCTCTACGCGTCGCCTCGCCTGAGAAACCCAACCACCACCCCCATCCCACATCGTCCTACCTCTCCCGACCCATGTCCCCCCTCAAGCCCTCCAGCCCGCTCAAGGGCACCTCCGCCAGCATGCCGGGCCTGCGGTCCGTTCGCGGCACCAACGCGCCCTCGACATCCGTCGTCAGACCCTCGTCCCAAGCAGCCACCAGACGCCCGGCAAGCCGCGCCGCAACCACGACAAGCAAGACCCTGCGCTCGCCCTTGCCGCGGCCCGCGACGCGCCAGGTCGACCGCCGGGACAGTGTCTCCTCGTCCGCCTCCTCCGGCACCACCGTGGCGGCCAAGCCAACCCGGACCCTCACGGGCAGCAAGAAGACCGCCGGTGGTGCCACTGCGTCCGCGACTGCCTCCTCCGCTACCCGGAAGAATACGGGCGGCCGCACCCAAGCCTCCGCGGCCGTCGCCGCTAAACGCAACGCCGCATCAGGAACAACGACCAAGCGAGCCACCACCCCGGCCGGCGGTGAAGCCGCCCCCGCAGCCGGCCGGAGGGTTCTGCGCAAGCGAGCCTGATAGGAACCTAACTTCCGGCCTTTGGTTCTTACTTACGACCTAAGTCATTTTGATACCTTCCATTGTTGCTTTGTATATGATTGGAGTTCCGCGTGGTGTTGTGCTTGATACCGGGGGTCGTGTGATTCAGGAGTTAATTTTAGGTATCGAAGGCGTATAGGGAGCTTGGGGTAAATCATTTGGAGTTTTCATGTCAATTACAGCTTCTATCGTTGTTCTGGTTTTGCTCAACGCATCGGATCAATTATCGAGAGACATTACCAGGTGTCATGTTTGTCCTTGTTGAATTATGACTGTGTTTACTTGGATCCAGCATGCATTTGCCTGTTAATTATCCTCAATGTCTCTTTGACAGCATCAAAACCGCTCTCAGCATGGAACACTAAATTTCATAATCTCACACTGTCAAGCCTATCAAAGTGGCAGCTACTATAATAATGTCTTTCATTCATAGTCGCTAGTAAATTACACCTCTTTTTTTGAGGGCAGGCGGGGGCTGAATGAGAAAAGAAAAAGGGAAATAAGAGGGGACGAGAGAATAGAAAGACATCACATGGGATGGTGGAGAGAAGAAAAAAGAGACACAAACAAGTCGGGATATCAGCTGGGGGTTAGGTCGTATGGTTTTGGAGTGGGAGAAAGTGGAACAGAATGGATATAGAAGAGAAGGGATGAAGCAAGTGAAAAAAGGTAGAAGAAGAGAAGAGAAAAGAAAATATCGTATGACTCGGCACAGGTATCTTCGCAGTTGATCTGGAACTGCCTGAGAAAATGAAATAAAGTAAAAAAGAAGAAATCTGCCCTCTCCTCGCTAGTGCGTCCCACTCAGAATAATCTCACACGACAGTGGAATGGAAGTTAGTAAGGCACAAGATTGCGAAACACCATGGTGTTCAAGAAATCAGAAAGAAAAGAAAAAGAAATCGAGGGAAGGGAAAGAAAGGAAATGCCCCTGGCATTGTATGCTTTGGGTCTCGAGCTGTGAAAACGCAAAGGGCTGCAAGGCAAGGCTTTGAGATAACAACGGGCGAGAAAAGAAAAAGATGGGTAAGATGGAAAAGATGGGACAAGAGTGACCCCAAAGTCCCCCAGAATATGAACCTAACAAGGTCACGACGGACAGACGGACCTCCGTAACTAGCCTATCGAGGTAGAAAGCAAATTAAGGGTGCAGTGAGTCGTACTGGGACCCACGGCCAATGCAAATGCGCTTCAAGTTGCCAGAGCACAAAAGACAAGGTAAGAAGAAAAGAACAACCATCCGCCAAGAGAATCTTCGAGCCGACTGTTTTGGCAAATATCGATAATCATCTCAATTCAAAAGGTGAAAGAAACTCCATCCAACCATGTTATATCGAATAAACGCTGAACGGCCCAGCCATACGCCAAGAGCATTCTTTGGAGCTCAAACGAGATATTGGCGATTATTGTATCAGGAAAATATCTTTGAGACTATGCGGAAAAGTGACAGTGTGGTGCCATCACCGATAACAAAGGCTAGCTGTTATTTTAGCCCGCAACACCCATAGGTCCCGCGCCTGGACGGGGTCGGTAAGGCATCGGGTGGCCTTGCCCATCAGGTTGGACGGTGTTTTGCTGGCTGCTATTACTCGTGCTTCGCTCACGGTAATCTTTAGCCGATGCAGGACC